TTACCCAACGGTTCATAATCCCTGCCCTACGCCCACCCCCTGACAAAAAAAAAAAAAAAAAGGGTTAGAAATACTTTAAATGTTTGCCATATTTCCCAGCAGCTTTGGTCAAAGGTTCTGTGAACTACTCGTGTCTGGGGCCCCAGGTCCTGTGACTGGGTGTCATCTACTCCGTGTGTATGTGCTTTCATGTCTGGCTGGAAAAGCCGATTTCAGTGCTAATTACAAAGCCGTACTGAGCTCACGGTTCCAAACACTGGGGCCACAGCAACAGTAGAGCCTTTGCCTCAACTCAGCCGCAGTAGCAACACTGCCCAGAAACTCCAACTACTCCTGTGGAGGCCTGGGGTCTCTAGCAGAGGCGGTCCCAGGGTAGAAGCCAGAGGGTGACTTGAAGACAAGGGACAAAAAAGCCACACAGACACCGCCGCTCCCCACCACCATCCCCGCTGCCCCTCCCCATCTTCTCTAGTGGCTACTCAGCTGACCCACTGGCCTTCAGGTCAGCAAGCTTGGCCGGGAAATGACCATCAGAAACCCAGGCAGGGCCAAGCAGGAGTCTACATGTCTTCACCCAGACCTTGTCCACAGCTTATGCCGCACACCTATACTTCAGAGGAAGGGAGGCAGCGAGCACCCTTCCATTTCCTTCTCCCTCCTTCCAGCTTCTTCTTCATGCAGAAGCAGGCTGTGGGGCTGCTCCCTGGTAAGAGGGAGCAGGTCCACCAGGCAGAGTACAGAAGATGACACATTTCCTACATGATCGACTCTGTGCTACCTGCTAAATAAAGCTCTCCACCAACACCCAGGCAGGATGGATCCCCATTTTACAGAGTTATAGGTGTAGGGTCAGAGGGTCCTTCCTCAAATCAGAAACACAATGCTTCTGATCTGGTACTGGGAGGGAACTATTTCAGGCTACAGGTCTCCAGGCTCATGCCAACTAAGAATGTCTAAGACTCTGCTGGACCCTTTCCATGAAGAGTAAAGGAGTGAGTTTTCTGGCACTGAGGAGCCCACGCCAGGCAGCCTCTACTTCTTCTGAAAGGTCCAGAAGAGTCCTCAGACACCTGAGATCAAACTTCAGCCGGCAGGGGTCCCATTCTCCACACAGGACACCTTCAGTGTTTTAGGCTGGTCAGCAGGCCTCATCCTTCACACAAGGCTGGAGAGATGACATAGGTGGCGCTGGTCACCACCCAAAGCCTGGGCTTTGGTCCTGCATCTAGGCTGTTACATTCCTGCACCTCAGCACAGACAGCCATGGCCCTGTGAGATTAGATAAATCCCAGCTCAGACAGAATCTCAGCTCTAGTCTGTAAGATTCTGTAACAAGACAAATCCAGGCACTGAGTGTCCTGGGTGGTTTTTATGTCAACTTGACACAAGTTAGAGTCATTTGGGTAGAGGGACTCTTAACTGAAAAGCTACCCCAGAAGAGCCGCCCGGAGGAAGCCTACAAGGCATTTTCTAGGTGACTAACTCACGTCGGAGGGCCCACCTCACTGCGGGCAGGGCCACCATGGGAGGCCAGGTGATCGTGGATGCCATTAAAAGGAAGACTGAGCCAGCCATGAGGAGTAAACTGGTAAACAGCACTCTCGGCCCCTGCACCAGCCCCTGCCTCGACTGCTCTGGATCATGTACAAGCTAGAAGGTGAAGTAAAACCCTTTCCAAGTATGCTTTTGGTCATGGAGTTTATCACAGCAGTAGAAATGTATCTGAGACCCTGGGCTCCAGGACAACTTGACAGCATCCAAGCTCCTGAGCTTTGCTTAGACAAGAACGAGCGTGCGACTTTAATCCCAGCACTCTGAGGCAAACAGATCTGAGTTCAAGACCAGTCTGTTCTACAAAGTGAGCTCTAGGACCAGCAGGACTACCCAGAAGCCTTGTCTCAAAACCAGATCAAAACAAACACCACGTCACATACCATAGGCCTCACTCACACAGCCCCCAGCCATCCAGAACACTGTGGAAGGCAAGCCGTCCAGTCTTTACGAAAGACTCCTCTCCAGGCTGCCTGCATCAGGGTTACAGGGAGGACCCAGACTCGCCGTGAGGTAGATGTCACCCACCTTTACTACCAGTGGATTCACTTGGGATGGATGCCAAGTTACTTCCCAATCCAGTCTTAACTGGGTGAAGGAAACTTGTGGAGAGACAAGCACAGAGGCCTCCAGAAGCCTCAACCCACGGAAAGAAGACCTCTGCCCTAAAACCTGATCTCAGTGCTTCCTCAGGGCCTTTCCCAAGGCATGGAAGCCAGCAAACACTATGTTCCCAGAAGTGCCCTGGAGGAATAACAGGGTATTCGCTGACACACTCAACTCCCTCCTCAGAGCATAAGCCTCTAGGAGCCAGCACCCAGGCCTTCAGAGACTTTGAAGCGCATCTGGACCTCCAGGAGAGCCTCCTGGGGTCCTCCTGCCTTGTCAAGCCAGCTCCCTTTCTATATTCTGCCTCTTTCAAGTCGGTACAGTCAAGGCTCTCCTGTAGAAGCTTGTCGGGATATTACTGAGAACTCTCATTACAACTAGAAGGCAGTGGCACATACTCCTGTGGTTCAGAGACACAGAGCTGTGTTTGCACCACCTGTCCACCAGCAGAAAGATGATAGACAGATCTCACCTTGACACTCAGAACTTGGGCCAGGATGTGTCCTTTCTAGAATGTACCAGAGGGTCTTACCTATGGCAACCACAAAAGATTGGAAAAAGGCTACTTATGGCATTTTTTAAAACCCTGTATCATGGGGCTAGAGAGACAGATCAATGGTTACGAGCACTGGCTGCTCCTCCAGAGGACCAGGGTTCAAACCTCAGCACCCACAGAGTAGGCCACAACCATCTGTGACAACAGTGGCTCTGACCGACATGGGTCAGGTGGTACACAGACACACACACAGGTAAAGCATCATACACACAGTTTTAATTGAAAACAAAAAGCCCCACCAAAGCCTCTGCATGACAAAAGTCTGGGAGAGCATGACTTGCTGCAGGCTCTATTTAAGGTGCCTGCTAACCTCTGTTCTCAAATCTTGGAAGCCCCAAATGCTGCTAAGCTTGTTGGAAGCTTTCCTGAAGAGCTGAGACATGTCGTGTTCCCTCAGGTTTTAAAACAGCTGTCTACTGAGATCCAACTGGGACTTTACCAACTAGCTGTCGGGTGACAGGAGTGTGGAGCTCGTGTTTGGCTCTCACGTGTCTACACAGCTGAATATTTACACAATTATACATCTGTGCTATTACTTTTCTTTTTTCAAGAAAGAAGATATTTGGGCCAGTGAGATGTCTCAGTGGATAAAAGGGCTTGCGCCAAACCGGAAGATCTGAGTTCCAACCCAGGGACTTACATGGTGGAAGGAGAGAACTAACCCTTATTATTGTCCTCTGACCTCCACCAGTGTGTAAAATAAATAAAACATTGAAAACAAAATTTTAAAAAAAGGACATTTGCAAGCCCTCCGTGCTGCCGGCCTGCTGTGGTCAAGCATTGCTTCCCATATGTCACTAGCACCTGCAGAAGTCAGAAACCAGCTTTCCAGAACTATCTTCACAAGAGTGTGGGCTCTTTAAAGATAGACATGCCAGCCTGGCAAGGTGGTACACACACTCACTCCATGTACTTGGGAGGCAGAGGTGAGTTGCAGCAAAAGCCTGTCTCAAAAATCAACCAAACTAACAAAAACCCTTAAAGGTACCCACGACATTCCCTATGTGGCCTAAAGGTCAAGCCAGTCCCATCCATAAGGAGAAGTGGACAATTAAAATTCTGAGTATACAGCACAGTAATCACTGTCCCAGTGGGGCCAGGCTTTCCCTGGCCAGCCCAGTGCTTTCGCAGACCAACTGTGGCTTTGACCATTTTCACACGTGAACGAAGCAAACAGAAGGAGACCTTACAGGTCGGCATTCAGTCTGTCTCTGACCAGCACTACAGAGCAGAGTGGGTGGTCTCAGAATTTAAGGGCACACCCGAGGGCTGTGACTAATAACAGGAGACAGTCTCATGACCAAAGCCAAAATAGGCACCAGCATCCATCAGTGGCTCTAATGCTAACAGCAGCCCCCTGACTTTCATAGCTCACAACTCAAGATTAAGTCTACCCTGCCACTCCATCACCTTCTCTTCTGTGCACTTTCAACGCAGCTTCTAAAGGAAACAAATGCATCTGTCTTAGCTGCCTGAACCCATCTGAAATTTTGGAAGTAGCACGACTTCCAGGTTGCTCTCCATCACCAAATCCTGTGGCATTTGCTTTAAAGGATCATTTTCCCCAGTCCTGAAAAATCACACAACTGTTTTAGAAAGCAGAAATCACTCCGTCTTGACCTATGAGTCCCGTAAGGGTTACACTCAACAGCTGTTACCTGGCACATCTTGAGACCCTCAAGCCCACCCACACAGACTGTCTGAGGCCAAGTTTCAGTCCTTTACTGACAGGCAGCCTATACAAGATTCTACTATTCACCCTAAGTGAGCAAGCAGCCATCACTACCACACACAATTTTATTACTACTGTTTTCTTATGAGTCAGCCTGTGCACTAATTCCTGATAGGCCGGTTTTAAGAACGTAAGTGATTTTTTTTTTTAAACTGTAATTTCCCTCTTAGCAACCAGTCACCAATCGAAGCAGAAACAGGAAACTGGCACATCAGCCACTCCACGTGGTGCTTTGCTGGAGGCAGGGAGTATTGCTCTCACCCGGGACAGAGTAGACCTCTCGTATCTTAGGGAAGCCGGATGCCTGCCGGGGGGGGGGTCAGAGCCGCGACCCACTGAGGTCTCGCGAGGGCTGCCCCGAAAGTGTAGACACTCTGAATGGATTAAAGAAACGCACGTGGGTTCTGGGACCTGTGACTTTAGCATGGAACTGTCGAGATGGTCCAGGGATGGACAGATGGAGAGATGCTGGGATGGGTGTTGCCGAGTTGTACTCACAGGGACCTTGGCTCTCGCCCACCCCGCCCCGCCCCAGCTCGGACCCCTACTTACGCACGCAGAGGCAGGCCACGAGCTTGGCAGCCTCCTCGGGCACCGGACATGTGGGGAAGACCGGCTTGAGCAGGTAGGTGGCGAAGACCAGCGCCACGATGTACTGTGAGGAGGGCCGAATGATGAGCAGCTCGATCCAGAGCTTGAGGAAGGCGGGCAGCGAGCCGTAGACCTCCAGCATGTAGGCGTAGTCGCCGCCTGACTTGGAGATGGTGGTGCCCAGCTCCGCGTAGCAGAGTGCGCCCACGATGGAGAAGACGCCGCACACAGCCCACACCACGAGCGATAGTCCGGGCGAGCCCGCTTCCTTGAGCACGCCGGTGGGCGTCACGAAGATGCCGGAGCCGATGATGGTGCCCACGATGATGGCCACACCGTTGAGCAGCGTGATATTGCGCTGCAGGGTCACGCCTTCGCCCTCGGGGTCCGCGCCGTCCCCGCGCCGCGCCTCCAGCATCTTCTCCCGCGCCTGCCGCTCCTCCTCCGCCGCCGCCGCCGCCGGGGCCGCAACCGCGCGCCGCTTTGCGCCCGCGACCGCCATGCTCTCGGCGTTCCCGGCTCGGCCTGGATACCCGGCGTGCGCGCGGCCGAGCCGCTCTCCGCGTACTGACAAATGCGTCTGCGCCCGCCCCGCCCGCGCGGCCTTTTTATCTCTACCGTTACCCGCCCTCCAGGCCCCGCCCTTCGCAGCTGCCGTTGGTCCGTCCGGGAAGGCTCCGCCCACCTCCGTCCGAGCGACTCCGCCTCCTCCGCGGGCCCCGCCCCCAGGCCTGTTAGAGCACGTGGAGCGCTGACACAGCGGATAGTGTGTGTGAGAGGCACATCGCGGTGTGTTTCACCAGACCCGAGGGCTGTAGGAGGGTCGGCTCACACCTCCTCACATGTCCCTCTGTGCGGGTTGTTCCGGCCAATTGGTGAGGGCGTGCTTCTTCTCCCGCCCCAGGCGGTGAAGAGCAGTGGCCAGGGTTGAAAGCACCGGAAGGGTGGCTCAATGTGTACTCTCGTCACCTGCCGGGAATCCTGGCCCTGCCTCGCGGGTATTTATCTCCCCTTCCACCTGGGTGCTAATCCAGTACCTCTGAGAGGTGGAGGATAGATTCCGTTTCTAAGATAAATGGGGGTGGGTCGTGGGGTGAGGCACGCTTACTGGTTCAGCTTGGTCCAGAGGAAACGAGTCTGAGAGTGAAATGATCCATCAGCTCTGGAGGAAGCCGAGGGGAATAGGTCAGGATTGTAGCCAGCTCATTCCTGGACTTAGATATCCATCTGGTCCCAAGGAGAGTATTGTCAAAAGCTCGTCTAGTGGTACACCCAACCCGGAGAAGCAAGCTTTAGAAGAAGGGTACCTGCCCAATCTATATAGGGATTTTAAAGGCAGGATGTAGGGCGAGAGGGCTTTAGCTTGTCATTCTTAGGAAATCTTAGGTAAGAGGGCTTTTGAGATAACGTGGTCGCACATCTGAAAGATTCAACATCCTAAGCCTGGTCCCTGCCCCGCCCCCCCCCCATGGTACTTTGAGCTGACAGGTGCACTTGGAAAGTTTCATTGATCAAGGTCAGACCAGGAAGCCCCAAGACCCCCTCCTTTTCACCAACTGTTCCTTTTTCTGCCCAAAGGAGTCCCCCAGGTAAGCTAACAGACTTGGGGGGGGTGTTAATTCAAGAAGAACCTTCAGACTTGTAAGGACCCAGTCTTCCAAGCCTTTCCCGCTCCTGAGACATGACCAACGAGGAAATTCAAACTTCTCGCCATATCTGGATGTATAGCTGCAGCCACGAATGCCAGGGCTGTCCTTGGAGTCCCAGGACAGGACAGGGAGGTGTTCAGCCAGAGGACTCAAAGGGTCACTGGAGCCACCTCCCCGCATCCAGTATGTCAGCCATTCACGCGCAATGACAAGCCGGCGTCCCTGTAGCCTGAGCAGTGGGAAGCCACGGAGCTGAAAGGTCACACCAACATTAACATGCCAGACGACAGACTGCCTAAATTGATGGCTCTGGGAAGATTGAGAAGCTTGCTTCTCATTCTTTACATGGTCCTTTCAGAGGGTGAGAAGCATACCACCAACCCACCGAGGCATTGCTAAGATTCCAAGGTACGGCGCCTACTTTAACAGGACACGAGGCAACTCTGAGAAACACCTGATAAATGAGGGAAGCAACTTTGCCGTTGTGTAACTTGCCTGCCCAGTATTCGTGCCCTCATGGCCTCCTACCTCAAGGCAAGCAACCTGCTCACCTCTCACCTGTGGGTGGCTAACCCTTGCTTCTTTTGGAGTCTCCCCGTTCACAGTAGCTAGGTTCTGCATAGTAGCCATGGGGAAGCTTTGATTTGAGGCAGAGATAGCAATAGTCCAAGGAGGTATAAAATGGCAACCATAATTAAGCCAAGGCCACTACCAGAGACCAAGAAGGGTGGTCCTGGAGGAACACAGCAGGCTTAAATGGCTTTTCTAGGTCTGGAGCTCAGAGAAAGGAAGAAAGCAGAGGGGGACCTGTGCTCTGGGACAGTTGGGAGGTTTGATGCCTGGGGACTGGGGTCCTGGGAAGCTGCTGTGGTCCTTTCCAGGAAGAGTGACCATGCCCAGTGAATGTCCCCAAGAGGTAAGGCCTGAGATTTCTTCCTGCAAAGCAGCGTTGCTGTGTTTTGTCTCTGTTGTCCCTTTTCAAACTCCTTTTCAAACAGCTAAGACTCTGAAATGTTTTCCAGGGGCGCCATCTACTGGTGGATTGAGGAGCAGTGTCTTGTTAAACTTCCTCACTTAGGGGGCTCCCGGTGTGTATTCCTAGTGCCTAGCACTTCAACTGGTCAGTAATTTATTTAAAATGGTGTTGGGCTGACTGAGCATTGGGAAGCCCTGTCTTCCCATCTCCATCTTGAAACGAGAGTGAGTACCTCTTACAGTCCTTCACAGAAGAAGAAAGGGGTGGAGAGGGTCATCGGAGCCCCCCTCCTGCCTGTGCTGCCCATCTGTGCTCTCCCACTCTAGGTACATGTGGTCTCTGGGTGTGGCAGAGTATTTGGGAGGTTGAAGGTTGACTGAGGAGGTAAAGGTGGGACTTAGTGTTGCTATTGCTCTCTGGTCACCTATGCTGCTGTAAGTAACTGGGTACAGTAAGCTCGCTCACTCACTGTCTTAGTTAGGGTTCTACTGCTGTGAACAGACACCATAATCAAGGCAACTCTTCTTTTTTTCTTTTCCTTTTTCTTTTCTTTCTTTCTTTCTTTCTTTCTTTTTTTTTTTTTTTTTTTTTTTTTTTTTGGTTTTTCGAGACAGGGTTTCTCTGTGTAGTCCTGGCTGTCCTGGAACTCACTCTGTAGACCAGGCTGGCCTTGAACTCAGAAATCCACCTGCCTCTGCCTCCCATGTGCTAGGATTAAAGGCATGTGCCACCACCACCCGGCTGACCAAGGCAACTCTTATAAGGACAGCATTTAATTGGGGCTGGCTTACAGGTTCAGTGGTTCAGTCCATTATCATCAAGGTGGGAGCATGGCAGCATCCAGACAGGCATGGTGCAGGAGGAGCTGAGAGTTCTACATCTTCATCTGAAGGCTGCTAGCAGAATACTGGCTTCCAGGCAGCTAGGATGAGGGGTTTTTTTCTATCCTTTTTTTCTTTTTGTTTTTTTGAGACAGGGTTTCTCTGTATAGCCTTAGCTGTCCTGGAACACACTCTGTAGACCAGGCTGGCCTCGAACTCAGAAATTCACCTGCCTCTGCCTCCCAAGTGCTGGGATTAAAGGTGTGTGCCACCTCTGCCCAGCTAGGATGAGGGTCTTAAGGCCCACAGCCACAATGACATATCTATTCCAACAAGGCCACACCTACACCAACAGGCCCATACTTTCTAATAGTGCACTCCCTGGGCTGAGCATATTCAAACCACCACACTCCCCAACCTGGACTTGGATGGAACTGGGTCTCTCAGTGCCCTATCTTGGATGAGGAGAAGTCTGCTCACATCTACCCACGAAAAGCCACAGCAGAGGCACAGTAACCAGAACATTTCTGCAGATGGAAATCTGTGTGGAGTTCCGCCACTCTCTGCCACATCAGTTCCAAGAGTTGAACTCAGGTCCTTCGGATTGGCTGCAAGCACCTTTACCTGCTGAGCCGTTTACGAACCCTGCCTCAGTTTTTTTGTTTTTGTTTTGTTTAAAATACTTAATTTAAAAAAAAAAAGATTTGTTTTATGTGGATGAGTATTTTAGCTGCATGTGTATCTGTGTCCCGTGTGTGTGCCTGGTGCCCTCAGAGGACAGAGGAGGGCATTGAGTTCCCCGTAACTCGGGTTACAGGGGATTGTAAGCCACCGTGAGTGTTGGGAACTGAACTTGAGTCCTCTGAAAGAGCAGAAAGTGCTCTTGACCTCTGTGCCTTCCCACCCCTCCCCACCCCCGCAACCCCTTATATTTTGAAAGAGGGTTTACATAGGCCTGGAACCAGCTGAGTAGGCTAGGCCGCCTAGCCAGTCCACCCCCTGGATTGCCAGACTCTGGCTCCCAGTGCTGGAATTATAGGCCTGGAACCTAGTGTCTCTTGCACTGGAAGATAACTGGACCCTCTTGGGGCTCGGGGCTCCGTGAGCCTGTTTCTGTTTTGCCTCACTAGTCATTTTTGAAAGCCCAACTCACAGGTGCGTGGACTCCAAGTACACGCCACGAGCCTTTCCCGAATGAACTGCGACTTCCTCCACACACACAGCCCCGGGTTCTCAATGCCCCTGCAGAGAGTGGGAGCCTGCTGTACCTTGAAGCCAGTGGAGGAACAAGTTGGGATCATCTGGGCTCTGGGAAAGAAGAAATTTGATCCCCTCACCCATGAATACTGGGTGGCCAAACACCTATCAACTAATCAAAGACACCGGAAGCTGAGGCAGGAGGATCATGTGTTCTAGGCTAGCCTGGACTACACGGAGCCCTGTCTCAAAAATCAAAAGGCCACACTAGATCTCCTGCTCCTACTCCTGGGCAGCCCCACAGGCCTATCCGGCTGGTGGAGCGAGGTCTCTCGTCTCTAAGGCTTTGCTAGTCCCTCTGTCTCCGCTCACTCTGCTTTAATTCCTCAGAGCGCCCCAGCCCTGCATGCCCCCTCCCCACTCCGCTTCATCCCTGCCTTTCTCACACTGAACACCTCTAGTGTGGATCACGTGTGCTTGCCTCGGCTCTGAGGTCAGGGCTCCCCCAGAAGCACACACCTTTCACCCAAGGCCACAGGCCTGTTGTTTTTAAGATAGGGTCTCTCTCACTATGCAGCCCTGGGTTAGCCTGCTACTTGCTATGTAGACCAGGCTGGGTTCAAGCGCTCAAAGGTCTGCCAGCCTCCACCTCTCAAGCACTGGGTGGGGTTACAGGCCTGTCCCACCCCAGCACACTTCTAAATGTACCCTAACTGCCCTGTGGTCCAAGCACACGGCCAATAAATAATTGTTGGGGTGAAAAGATTAAAATAGAGTCAACTGCTCGTATGAAGTAAAACAAAGGACTGCGCCATGTGTGAGTACACACACACACTCATGCACGCGCACACACGCACAAGCACGCACACACACTCCTCTGCCATTATAGTGGGTATGACCACATTTGGGGTCATATGTTTGAGAGGATGTGTACGAGACGGCCCTCAGAATCCACTAAAAAGGATCAGCAGAATTTACCTCGCTTAAAGATAATTTTAAAATTCAGAAGCATCTGAGCGCTACTGAGAAAAAAATCCCCACGCTGACAGGAAATTCTGATGAGATTAATCCGAATCTTAGAAACACAGCTGGCCTCTCTCCTTCCTGCTGTGGACACAGACTCTACCCCTGAACCCAAAAAAGCCATGATCAAAATGCCTGGTGGTCCACGCCTGTAAAGTAAACCCAACACTCGGCAAGCTGAGGCAGGAGGATCACGTGTTCTAGGCCAGTGTGGGCTGTGTGAGGCCCTGTCTCAAACATGAGTGAAGCATGTTGCCCCCATTCCTTTACAGCTCCTCGGGTGATGGCGGAAGCAAGCTGCTCCCCGCTGTCTCCCTGGACACAGGGATGGCCCAGGGGGGCCTATGGGCAGGGAGGATGGCTGAGGCGGAGGTTAAGGGAGGGAAGGAGTGGCTCTTGCAAACATTCATGGTGTCACATACACAACTGTTCTGCAAGAGAGAAGGACCCAGCTCCCTCCAAGAGAAACAGGTGCTTAAACCTCCGTACCACAAGAAGCTTCTGGAACAGGAGGCTGAAGGATCATGTCTGCCTCATCACCACACACGCAGACACTCCCCCAATTCAGAGAAGTAAATTTGGTGAGAATGGGGAGAGGAAGGGCAACGGCTAAGCCAAACAGCTTGGCTGTGGAGGAAGGCTGGTCAGGGCCTGATACAGCGTGAGACAAACAGGAATCAGTAAGGTTTGACTGGCCTCAGTGCCCCACTGACAGGACCCACTGATTCCTTAAATGTGGGGAGTAGGGACTGAAGAGACCAGGCATCCCTAAGTCTCTGTGGCCCTGGGTCAATAGATGTAGGAGCCATGGGCTTGAAGGGGCCTCTGAGTGTCAAGTTGGGCAATGGTGGTGGGCATAACAGTCCCCACTGTCAACAGAGGCTTGAGCCGTGCAGGACCCATTGACCACAGAACACAGCTGAACATGAACACAGCCAGGCCTTGGGGACTTCCCCAAGGACACTACTTCGGGGGAATTAAAAAATTGGGTATCCAGCAAGGAGAAGGGGGAGTAACTCTCAGTTCTCTTAGAATGGCTGTACATTCTCCGGGGCTGATAGAGACTGACGGCCTAGGTTACACAGAATGGGTAGAGGATGAGGGGAGGATTGGGGTAAGGTGGGGGGACAGCCATCACTGCGGAGACTGTGGCTATTGTCCCAACGAGGCAGTACTGGGTGATTGGTCAAATGTGGCCTCTTCTTGGAGACCCAGCAAGAGTTCCCACACATTGACATTCTTAAACACGGAGAAAGTAACACCAGAGCCCAAGGACAGAACCTTGAACTTTGAAAGTTGGGCCAGCTATTCTGAAGACAATGGTGTGCCGTCTCTGAGCAGACCAGGACTTGCGAGGGAGGCAGGATCCTTTGTGTTTTTTTGCCCTGCTGCTTTGAGGGCTGATATCAAAGGCCTTTCTTCTCGTTTTGTTTGTAGTTTTGTAGCAATGTGTCCAGGCTCAGAACTCTTCCTGAAAGTGTTTCAGTGTCTCCAGGCTAACATGACTTTTTAAAAATAGCTAACAAAAGGGAAATTTTTTAGGAAGCAAAAGCATCCTTGCCCTCAGAGGAAATAGTCACTGCAGGATCCTGTCTGAGTTCTTGTTGGATGTGCCCAGGAGGTACTGTGGTGCTAAGCCCCTCCCTCCTCACAGGTGCCTCCATCTCTGCCTCTGAGAGCCCATGAAAATGGACACTCATGAATGACTCATGTGGCTCCTCTGTGACTCATCCCAGGCTCAAATCCTGAGAGCAGGGCCCCAATCCCACTTCCTGGCACACCCAGAAGAGAGCCCTGTTGCTCAAAGAACCTGAGGCCCAAGCTCCTTTCTGATCAGGTTTTCCAAACGGTCTGGTCTGGTGGAAGCAGCTCTATGCCTGCATTTGAGATTCAGGAATTATCTGTCCTTGATGCTGCTTCCCCCTTGCTGCTTGAGTCTCAGAGGACTGGGACACGCAAGCATGAGGACCTGGGTATCCATTCTTTACAAAAAGCCAAGCATGCTGGCGGTCATCTATCGACCCAGCACTGAAAGACAAAAAAACAGACAGGTTATCAAGTCTCTGCCCCAGCATCTCATGCGCTATAGTTACAGGTTTGCGCTATCACACGTGACCAGAAGACACACCTGTCCGTCAGGAGCCTCTGGGTGGGGACCTGTCTTGTTGCAGCCACTTGTTCGCATGGACTGAAGTCCCTCTGCTAGAGACTTGAAGATTGTGTTTCCTCAAATCTCAAGAATGGACATTGGGTTCCAACCAAAGGCAAGGTGATTAGTTGCCCTCTGGTATCCTGTCTATAGTGACAGAGCCACCTGAGCCTCTCATACTCTGCCGCCAGCTGTGGCAGCCAAGACACCCAACATTCCTGGAAGTCAAGAGTGGCCTTCAGGCATCTGCTGCACCTGGGCCAGCTACTGCCGTGGTCACAGATGCACAGTAGCCTCTACACTCTTCCAGGAGGAGGCATGCCAGGAAGCCCAGGGTGACTTTCTATAGCTGCTCCAGGACACTGCCTAGACCCCGCTGCAGGCTGTTGACACCATAGGAAGCTCTGGGTTGGGAGCTGCCAAAGTAAACCCAAGGACTACGCAGGCTCTCTTTGATTCGACATGCTATTTGTGGACCAGAGTACATATTTATTTTTTATTTTCCCCTCCAGCAAAACACAGTGTGCCTTGGGAGACAGACCGGGGCTTGCTTATTTTTCCGTGTTGTGTTTTTCATTGCATACCTGGCAGGAAGCGATGTCTGAAGATAATGCGACAAGGCAGTTGAACCGAGTTTCCACCTGAGGGAAAGTTGTAACGCCTTAAAAGCAATCACTACCACATGAATGGCATTTTTTCCTTCTTCCAAGCGAGCAAGCAGTTAAAAAAAAAAATCCTCAAAAGGCTGAGGTGGCATCTGGAATGGAGGTGATGGAGCCCCAGCCCCAGGTAGTCCTTGGCTTTCTGAAGCTGGATGCTGTGTGCTGGTTCACCTGTGCGCTGGTCAGAGCAGGTGCATTCGCAGGAGACAGCTCCGATTCCTCCATGAAATAAACATTGAGGACCCTTGCCATGTGCTGAGCCATCTCCTAGACTCTAGAGACACAGCCCCCCCCCCCCTTGGGACTGACTGTCTTCGTTCCATTGGAGTCTGAATCCCAGGGGGCTGATCATAAAGGATAACAGAAGCCAAAGGATCACAGAACACATTGGATACACTGGGCTGAGAGAGAGCTCAGAAGAAAACACAATAGGGATAAGGAGCAGAGTGTGACGGAGGGTGATTGTTCTGTAATGGGCCATTGTCAGAGAGACCGAGGCAGGGGCGACCTACGTGGGCATCTGAGGGTGGAGTATCCCAGGAAAAGGTAAGAAGCTAGAGACCCAGCCTGATGGAGCTGGGTGAGGCAGTTGGAGATGACGGTACCATGGGGGTGATGTTTGTAGAGGGGTCACCACCGAGGCCCCAGCCACACTAGTGGCTAGTGTGGTGGACTGAGGCTATACACCCCGCTTAGGGCACTTCTCTCTCCATAGCATCACAAGCAGGTGAGGCGTCCAGGAAGGTAGTTGAGGCCCTGAGAGTTGAGCATACCAGCTGTTTTTTCCAGAGAAAAGGCGCCCAACAGAGGGGTGTCTGGCAGCAGTGTGGTGTGGGGGTGCATGTCTCACCTTTTTTTTTTTTTTTTTTTGGTTCTCTGTGTAGCCCTGGCTGTCCTGGAACTCACTCTGTAGACCGGGCTGGCCTCAAACTCAGAAATCCACCTGCTCCTGCCTCCCAAGTGCTGGGATTAAAGGCGTGCGCCACCACCGCCCAGCATGTCTCACCTGTCAAGGCCTCTCACGTCATACTGCATCTCTTCCTGGAGATCAAGGGATGCAGGGCCTGTGGTGGTGCTCCTCAGAGACACCCACATCTAAATCTTTGGCCCCGTGGATGTGTGACCTGACCTCGGGGACTCTGCAGTGGGATTAAGGACATGGTTATGGAGCTGTGTGTGATCCTGGGCTGTGCATGGACACCAGGTAACCATGAGGGGTCTTTCTGAGGCAGTCGGGCCAGACCACAGGAGGGGAAGGTGACTGTGGAAATACGGAGTGAGGGGAAAGAATGACGATTTGTGGCCGTAAAGCCAGCAGTGGGGAGAGCAAACCTTGATGACGCTGAGTTCCAAGACAGCCAGCGATTCTCTCCCCTAAATCTAAGAATGGACTCCGTCTGGCTCTCTAAGCCACCCAGCCCTTCATGCTGTGTTACAGGCGTCCCAGGTTTGACACTGAAGAAAAGGATATTGGTCCCACCCTCTATGTTGCTGAGGACTCCAGGTGGCCCTAGCAATACGCCACAGATGACTTCCACATGCAGAGAGGAAAGAACAGGAGCTGAGAGGTAGACAAAACAATCTGTCCGGGGAGTCTTTTTTTAATTTGTTCAGTTTTTGTTTTTGGATTTTTGTTTTTATTTTGTTGAGACAGGGTCTTACTACGTAGCCCTGGCTGACGTGGAACTCACTATGTAAACCAGGCTGGCCTTGAACTCACAGAGATCCACCCATTCTGCCTCCCCAGTACCGGGATTAAAACCATGAGCCACCACATCCTACAGTTTGCTCAGTCTTGAAGGCCACCTTGTGGCCTTCTGGGTCTTCTGCTCAGAGTTCTACTCTATAAACTTAAGTTTCTTTGTCTCTGGCTCTCTGTCTCTGTCTCTGTCTCTGTCTCTGTCTCTCTCTCTCTCTCTCTGTGTGTGTGTGAGAGAGAGAGAGAGAGAGAGAGAGAGAGAGAGAGAGAGAGGGAGAGGGAGAGAGAGAGATTTGGGCGTTTTGGTGCATGTGTATGTATAGATGCAAGTGTGTACATTCTTTGCATGTAGATGTCAGAGGGCAATGTCTCATGTCAGTCCTCAGACACCTCCCACATTTTACCTCTCACCGGTTTTGACTTTTGCGACACAGTCCCAGCCGGCTGGCCTGCAAGCTTCCAGGGATCCACCTGTCTCCATTTTCCATGTTGAGGCTTAGATGCTCACTCTGTTGTCGTTGGCTTTTTGTATGGATGCAGGGGATCTGAACTGAGGTCCTTGGGGCATGAGGCAAGCACTCAGTGGGCTGAACTGTCCCTCCAGCTCTGCTTGGGTTTCTTTAAAATGTATCTCTTAGTTGCAACAACAGCAAAGCAGGTTTTCTTTAAAATGTATCTCTTACTTGCAACAACAGCAAAGCAGGTTGACTGGAGCAATGGTTTCGCCTTCTCTTTTAATCCAGGCGCCATGCCATATGACACCCTCGGAAACACGCGCCCCCCTTTCCCTATCTTTACAGACTTCATCCTGAGATTAAGACCTCATTCACGTCCTATCGACTCGGAATGACGAACGGACTTTGCGGTCCCTGAGGGGCTGGGGCGGGCGGTAGTTGTTCACCATCACCTCCTCGTCTTCCCCTCGCCCAGAGAACAAGAGTGTGCGGAATTCGGACAGCTGGAACAGAGGGCAGCCATGGTGAGCTGATGCAGGCACGGTGTCCCCTCCCACACTGAATCAGGAGTGGCCAACAGAACACAGCATAGTGAATCCATGACTCCATGACACCTAAGGGTTCACTAGAGGCATGGTGGCGAGAGCCCAAAGACATGAGGGAACCCCAGTGGTCCCAAAGAAATGTCACAGGAGGGTACTGAGGCCCAGCCAACAGCCAGCACCGACTTGCCAACCACTGAGTGAGCCACTTAGGTAGGGAAGGAGTCCCCTGGGTATGTGCCATGATATACATTTTTTTTGTTAATGTACACATTTACAACTCCCCACTGAACTACATTGAGATGGTCAGGAACTCATCAGGGCCAGTTAATCACATTTTTGTTTTGGGGGCCCCCCCCCCCCCCGCCGAGAAAGAAAACCACCTTTCCCAAAGGCAAACAGAAAGGTCCCATTGGAGAATGACGTTCATTCTTACACAGATGGGCCTTCCCAGGCACAGCCTGGCTGAGCTGTTTAACTCAGGACAGTGATCACACCTGGACCCACCTCAGGGAATATGACATATGTTAGCTTCATACATGATGCATGCTGCCCCAAAATGTGATCATGGGGCCTCGCACTCAGTGACTCTCATGCGAATAGAAAACCCTTCTAGCAGTTTGGGAACATCTCAAATATGCCAGTGGGACTGGGGAGGTGTGGCTCAGACAGTAATGTGCTTGAGTTTGACTCTAGAATACATGATGGTTTGCTCTTGTAATCCCAGCACTGGGGGAGCAGAGCCAGATCCTGGAGCTCAGTAGTCAGCCTTGTGGGTGAGTTTCAGGCCAATGAGACACCTTATCTCAAAGCACAAGGTGAATGGTACCCACCTAGTGACAACCAGAGGTTGACTTTAGACCTCCACAACACACAAACACAGGTGGACCAGAAAATGGAGTCCAGCAATGCCCTACCATGACACCTGGATGAAGAGGCAGGTAAAAATGACCTCTTTTGGGGCCTGTGACTCAGCTGGAGTGCTCACCTGGCTCGAGGACACCTCAATGGGTGTCTTCTGCACGATCCAGGTGACTGACTCAGCCAGTGGTGGGGTGGTGAGGGAGCCAGGGTAGGTCCAGTAATCCTGGCAGGCAGGCAGCAGACAAGAAGGGTCAAAGGGTCCCATGGCCACCTGTGTGTTCTGAGGACAAAAACCACAGCCCCATCAGTCATGGGGTCCAGCATATATGAGGTCAAGGAAGAAGTCAAGCATCTCTCTGTCTTACCATAGCTTTGACAGCCAAGTGAACTTTCTGAGCAATGGTTATGTGGCCACCATTGTCATATGTGGAAGCATAAAGAAAATATGACTCTTCTTCACAAAAAAAAGGGACTCCTACCAAACGGTTCTATTTCCCCTAAAAGTTATGCCTTCCTATATACCTTGGCTGAGAAGATGTGTGTGTGTGTGTGTGTGTGTGTACATATATATGAGAGTACCATATTTGACATTATTTTTTATATATTGTAGCTGTCTTCAGACACACCAGAAGAGGGCATCAAATCCCATTACAGATGGTTGTGAGCCACCATGTGGTTGCTGGGAATTGAACTCAGGACCTCTGGAAGAGCACTCAGTGAGCCATCTCTCCAGCCCCATTTTTGACATTTTTCAAGTGTACAATTCGGGGGTTTTAAGGTCATTCACTTCACGTAGTCACCACCCACATCGATCTCCAGAACTTTCTCTGCCTCATTCAACACTGATTCCCATTCTTCCTTGACATCTGGAAGCTACAGACTACTTCCTAGCTCTGAACCTGAAGACCCATAAGTTAACGTGTCTCCTTTGTATAGCCCTGGCTGGCCTTGAACTCACAGAGATCTGGGGTTAAAGACCTGTGCTTCCACAACTGGCTTTGCAGCTGGCTTTGCACCTGGTTTATTTTACTGAGCTTTGTGATGTCCTTGTCATTGTCAGGGTTTGCCATGCAGAGTAGGTGTTAGAACAGCTAGCCTGCCTGCCTTCCTTCCTTCCTTCCTCACCCTGTTTTGTTTGTTTGTTTGGTTTTATGTTTTTTTAAGACAGGGTTTCTCTGTTTAGCCTCAGTTCTCCTGGAACTCTCTCTGTAGACCAGGCTAGCCTCAAACTTAGAGATCTGCCGCCTCTGCCTCCTAAGTGCTGGGATTAAAGGCCTGTGACACAATACCCAGCTGAGACAGGGTCTTGTGTAGCCCAGGGTGTCCTCAAAATCTGTTAGACAGGGATAAATTTGGTTTCCTGACCCTCCTGCCCCCTCCTCCCGAGTGCTGAAATTACTGGTGTGAGTGAGGCTTCTGTGTGTCCTGTGTTATGGCCGGCTGAGAAGCACCTGCCATGCGACTAGGCTGTTTCATCTGCATTCACCCATGTTGGGCCCTTGGCCTGCTTCTCCCTTCTGAGTATCTTAAAAGTACTCCCAGAACTGGGTAGTGGTGCTGTTAGCCCTTGGCAACCTTCAGTTCTCAGGGTGAATACACATACATGGGATTGCTGGGCCAGATGGACTCTTTTTTTTATTTTGGTTTGTTTTTTCTTCTTTTAATTTTAAGGACCCACCATGTGTTTTCAACAGTTGTTCCACCAATAAATCTTACAGTTTTAAAACAGCTGGTGGCGCACGCCTTTAATCCCAGCACTTGGGAGGCAGAGGCGATTGGATCTCTGAGTTCGAGACTATCTTGGTCCACAGAGAAACCCTGTCTCAAACAAAAACAAACTAACCAGCTGCCTTGTCTCTCTCAAGCAGCCTGACATATAAAGTGTTCATGCTGTGGGCCCCTCCCCCAACCCTCATGTTCTCCCCTGTCACAGGGAGCAGGTGGGAGCCAGCCCACCCTCTCCATACCCCCCACCTCCCATCCCACACCCCCAACCCCGCATCTGCTCCTGATCTATTGCTCAAGCTCTCTGCCTTCCTCTCAAGACTCCTGGAGGCGGCCTGGCCTCCACCTCAGGCCCCACGTTCACAGTTCGAGTTTGCAATGCTTCTTGGGTTTCATAAAGACTCTCTCAGCTCCTGTGGGATGTCACTGTCCTTTTGCTCATGCCAGCAAGCATTTCTTTCATTTATTCACAAATGCCTATCTGAGCTGACCGTGAGCCTAATTTTGCCTCTGGTGCTGAGAACACGGACAGAAAGCGGACAGAACCACTTCCTTCTGCAGACTCCCACAGGGCCAATAAGCAAAACACGAGCACTTTATACTGGGGACTCTTACATGGAGAAAAGTAACAAGGTGGGGAAGCAAGGCGAGGTGGGGGACAGGGAAAGGCATGGTCCCAGAGGCCTAACGGGGTGGCATCTGAGGACAAACGCAAAAGACAGGAAGGAAGAGTCTGCGGCGTGTGCACATCGGTTGCAAAGGTCCTGAGGCAGAAGCAGCCTGAGGGACAACAGAAACATCAAGGACCTGGTGTGGCCAGAATTAGTGGATGAGGCACAAAAGCAAAGTGGCTGGAGAGATGGCTCCGTCTGTACAGTGCCTATGTTGCAAGCCTGAGACCCTGAGTTTAGCCCTTAGAAGGTATGTAAGAAAGCTGGGCGGGGTGTGGATGCTGGAACAATCCCAGCACCGGGGAAGCAGAGACAGGCAGATCCTGGGGCTCACTGGCCAGTCAGCCAGCCTCACCTCCTCTGTGAGCTCTTGGACACTGAGAGACTTAAAGACTAAGGTGGGCAGCACCTAAGGACCAACATCTGAGGCCTGCACACATACCCGCATACACACAAAGTTGATGTCAACAAAGAGGAGGCAGAGGAAGGACGTCTGCAGAATGACACCTTGCCTCAGCCTGGGACTGGGGATCCCTACAAAATGCCACCTCAGCAGCAGGAGTGCCACCTGCTCAGCACCTGGATGCTGCTCATCATATCAGGATATCAATGCTCCAGGGTGCAGAGTGAGGTCTCTCTTCCCTATGAACCGCCTGGCGGCCTAGTGGTGCCTGTGGTCCTGAAACGAGCAGGCCCGGAACAGCCACACTGGTGGTGGTGGGGAGACAGGGAGACAGAGAAGATGAAACCAATCAAGACCCTTAGACGCCAGGCGGTGGTGGTGCACGCCTTTAATCCCAGCATTTGGGAGGCAGAGGCAGGCGGATTTCTGAGTTCGAGGCCAGCCTGGTCTACAGAGTGAGTTCCAGGACAGCCAGGGCTACACAGAAAAACCCTGTCTCGAAAAACCAAAAAAAAAAAAAAAAAAAAGACCCTTAGACAGTAACACTGAGTACTATGCAGGGAGTCCTGTGGATTTAAGTCCCTAGCTCCAGGGTCCAGGGAGACCCCAAACCAGCTAGGCCATCCAGCCTGAGCCATGACATTGTATTCTGGGCTGTGGAAAAACAGGGGAGGAGCCCAGAGCTGCAGCAAACCATCCTCAGGAATGGGCTTACTGAGCAGCTGAGCAGGGCTCTGACCCCAAGGCCACCTGTCCCTTGCCTCCTCCCTCCATCTCCCCATCCTCCTCAGAATCAACACGTTCAAGCATTTTAAAGTCTGATAGGCCCCCCAAGTGCCCCTCGAGGTAGTAGGAGCTCTCTCAGAGCTGAGTTCTGGGCTGCTGCTTGAAACACCCCAATCTGTGCCACAGTGTCCCTGCCCCCCTCGGCCCCATCACAACACTAGATGAGCCTTTGAGAGCCATAGCTGGGGCCTGGCCCCAATCAGTTTACCAAAGACCAACCCTGTGAACATGCCACTTTAATCTGTATAACAAGGCCCTCCCGTGCCCACTCCTAAGATCCAAATTTCACAAACAGGCAAGTTGGGGCTCTAAGAAGTTAAGTCACTTGATCAAACCGCATAGTTCCCTGGCAATCTCAAGAGCCATGGACCCAAGACTTCTTGACTGAGGACCTCCACCACATACCAAACACCCCTATAAGTCCCAAGTTTGCAGATGAGAGCCACTGGACCCGGGGTCCATCAGCGTCTCCAAGTCTTTAGCCTGTGGAGCCCTCCCTGGCTGGGCTTTTCGTGTCCTCAAGTCCTTTTATCTCCTAGAATCTGTGGGTTATTTGCAGGGGGCTAGTGTGACTAGGGCCAGAACTGAGTTCCAGACCCCATGTCTTCCTTGTGGTCACCCTGTGAGGGAAAGTAGCTCCAGAACCTTCTAAGGAAGTCAAACAGACCCTGAATAAACACCACTCAGCAGCCGACTCTTTTCTCTCTCACCCCGTGGGAGGCAGAGGCCAGCTGGGAAAACATCCCATACTCCAGTTTTGTTCTGGCTGTGGACCAGCAAGGAAGAGGGCGAGGAGCTGGGCGCCCAGTACCTTGGCCTTGAGATGTTCCAGGGCACGGAACAGTATGGGGAAGGGATCTGTCTCCATCCCAAGGGGCATCTGGACCTCAACATCAAGAGGATGCAAGGAGTAGATCAAACGCTCCTGTGAGCTTTGAGGAAAGGGTGGCCACGTTTTCCTGCAGGTCAGCTCTCACCATTGTTAAGACAGATGGAAGCCTCCTCTGTCCCCGTGTCCCCATGTCTAATGGCCACCTTGCTTCCTTTTGCCTCAGAATTCTTTGTTGTGGTACTGAATAAATAAACCCATCTCTTTGGAATTTCCATGTTTCCATCAAAGTCCCCTCTGGCTTGCTCTTAATGAAAAGCAACACTGTCATTCTGCCGTCCCCTTGAGACAGGCTAACATACTCAGGTATACAAGAAATGCCCGGCCACCTTCAGGGAGAACTGGGGCCCTGCCACCAGCCTGTACACCACCCAGGCTCCCTACTCCCCCCACCCCTTCAGATCTTCTCTGTCCTTGGTCTCAGTCTCCTTTGTGGTGTGCTGGTGGCCTGCAGGCTCACACGTAGCAGGTAGACATTTCAGTCTGCTCTAAAAGACTATCACTCCCAGACATTGTGCTTGAGTAAAGCAAGAACCAAGATGGATTCAAACCCTCCCACAGGCTGTTGGACTTGGCAATCCCAAGGAGTCCAACACCCTTGTCTCATAGAGGGGTTGGGGGGTGGGTGGGCAGTAATATACAGAGAGCCTATTACTCCTCCTCCTGAAACGGGATTCCAAGTATCCCAAGGGTGATTTTCAACTTCTGACCCTCCTACCTCCCAAGACTACAGGTGTCTCCCACCATCACACACAGTTTATGCCAGTGCCGGGGCTTGAACCCACAAGTCCTTGTGCCTACTCAGTGTGGTCTCCACCGACTGAACCACACATGAGTCCTCTTTCTGTTTGCTTTTAAAGAGTCTCATTCTGTAACCCAGGCTAGCCCGGAACTCATTATGTAGCCCAGGCTGGCCTTGAACTTCTGGCAATCCTCCTGCCTCAGCCTTCTCAAGAGCTAGAATTACAGACACATGCCGACACTCTCTACGCTCAAAGGGAACACTTTCAAATCCAGCTAGCGGCAAGAGTCTTACTTAGGACTGGCCCTTAACTTCTCTTTCCAGAACCAGAGCCTCATAGCCTCTGCCAAACTCTCTGAAGTTTTCCCGAGTGAGTCGATGCTCTGGAAACTTGGGTGCTTCTTACCTTGTGTCTTATTTCCGGCAAGACGTCCACCAGCCTCTGCAGGGCCTCGTGATGGGCCCCGAGCTGCATAGCACAGACACACGAGTGTTAGCCTGGGCAGCAGACAGTAAAACACACCCTGCTTTGGGGTGAGGGGCAGTGTGCAAAAGGCCATTCTCAGTGGGAGAGGCGTGCCTGCCCAGAAGACGCTACCTTCAGAAACACGCCGATCACCGCCAGCCCGTTCTCCCCCTCGGAGGCTGTCTTGTAATTTTCATATTTCGTGGAATTCCAGTGAACCAAATGGAGCTGAAACAGGGTAGAAAGAGAATGTTAACACACTGCAGTCACGCCGCTCTCCGTCTGGCCCACCCATGGGTCATGTCATTGTCACATGGGTACACAAAGTGCTGGTGGCCAGAGTCTTTGGAACGCCTCAAACACAGGCTGCAAGAGCTTTGAATCACTGAAGGAAGAAAGGGAGAAGATTCTTGCTTTATTTTCTCTCCCTCCTGCTGTGACACCACACCCTAACAAAAGCAACCAGAAGAAGAAAGGGCTCATTTTAGCGCACGATTCAAAATTTACTATGGTGGGCAACTCAAGGCAGCAGGAACCCGAAGCAGCTGGTCACATGTCCACAGTCAGAAGAGGAGAGCAATGAATGCAAACTTCCTTTTCTCTCCTCTTCTCCACTTGCACAGTCTGGGACCTCCACCAGGGCATGTTCCTGTCCACAATCTATAAGGGTTGTGGTGGTTTAAATGAGACCGTCCACCATGGGCATTTGAACACTTGGTCTCCAGTGGGTGGCGCTGTTTAGGGAAGTTTAAGAGGGTGGGCTTATGGGAGGAAGTGTGCAGTTAAGAGCATTGGCCTGGGTTCAATTCCCAGCAACCACATGGTGGCTCATAACCATCCATAATGAGATCTGATGCCCTCTTCTGGCACACAGATGTACATGCAGATAGAGGACAGAGAGAGAGAGAGAGAGAGAGAGAGAGAGAGAGAGAGAGAGAGAGAGA